TTAACTAATACAAATAACGAGTGGTAACTCAGCTAATCGAATAGGGAAATGTACAAACAACACATGCAATATACTAGATATATTACGTGTGAATGTTTGTGTGGGTGTGTGTGTTAGTTTGCTTGGTCAGCCTGGCCCATTGTGCCTGGCCCCGGGGGTCATTTATGTCTCTTTGGAATGTGTTTGAAACTCCAAATGAGGCGAGGGTGGTGAAACTGGTTAGCATCTCCCTGATGGGGGGGGGCATTTGACATTTAGCACCCATATAAGTGTAAGTCTGTGACCAAGACTGTAATTTATATGCAAATGTCAAAAGCTAAAAGGGTCTCTTAAGCCATAAAACCCAAAGATCATGCATGATTCTACGCAGACGCTACAGCTAAATAGGAAAAGGATTTGCCGCCGCAGTTGATTTTGATATTCTAGGTATTATCAAGTTTTGAGATCACAGCGGATGTGAAGGACAATAATGCGATAAGAGCTTGCTCAAGTACTGAGGAGCTAAACCATTCAGGGCTTTATGGGTGCATGCTTTCACACTTGGTTCGATTGCTTGGTCCGAGCCCGAGTTCTATTGCTCCCCCCTCCCCCCGCTGGACTGTGTTCACATTATATTATTTGGGTCAGAACCGCGGTTCGTTTGCGTCGTGAAGCCAGCAGCTGTTAACCCGATTGCTTAGTAACGATGGCGCAGGAGAAGGCGGCAAAATGTGTAGCATTGCTCTCTTCAATAAAAGAATATTATTTACAATCAGTGATAAGTAGCATATCACTGATTTTATGTGTGATATGCTACATTGTCACAGCATTCGAGTCCACACGCGTGCAGAAGTGGGCAGACCCAGACTAACAGGCTGGCACTGGGAGAATAATCTGCATTATAAAAAAGAAAAAAAAAGTTGAAAGATTATATATATATATGTGTGTGTGTGTGTGTGTGTTACATACAATAGAAATCAATGGGCACCAACTCTGTTTAATTTCAAACTAATATATAAACTAATTGTTTTTCAAAATTTTCTCCAATGCATCTCTCAAATCATAGAAAACTCTTTACAGTTTGCTGGATAAAGAGAGTGACGCAGTTTACATCACTATCCCTATTATGTCCCAGGCTGTTTTTGAATCTCATCTCATCTTGGAGTCCAGACAACCAATCTTTTTGAAAGCAGAGACCAAAATATTGTTAACTGATGTACATATTTAAACTGATCTGAACAGCAAACAAGCGTTTTTATTAATTTCACCAAAATAAAGTAAACTTACAAAAAATATATTGTTTTTGCACTGAACCTGTGAAAATGTCCCTCAGGTGGGTGTTCAAGTCCATTTTGGAATGAATTAATGCTACTGTGCAGCCTTGGTTTTATGCATCAGGAGGGTTAGAACATGTGATGCATTGTGAAGAGGATGAATCACAGCAGCAGTGACTAACCTGGCCTCTAAAAACACTTGAAGCCTCATGGCGGGACACACGTGGGTTTAGTTTAAAGTGCCTAGAAAAAAAATTATGTTGCACTGCCTACATGAACAATTACTCTATACAGTTACGTACATTGGGATCCAAAAGTCTGAGGCCATTGTTTCATCATCTACTCCTGGAAATGAAAGTTTAAAAGAAAAGTTAAAACAGTACATAAAAAATATTTTCCGCCATTTATAAGTCATCCAATTCAAGGTTCACGGTTCAGTCCGAGCACGTTGACCCCCAAAGTCTGGTTTGTTTGACTAGTGTGATCGCTTCGTGCCGTGCCTTGGCCCACTAGAAGAGGTGGGCTGTTAGATGGGCTCAGGTGCAGAACTGTGATTGCTAACCATGCCGGAGCACGGAACAGCTACTACTTTTGTGTGCACTACTGTCATCTTTATGACAACAAACATCTATTACTACTTGGATAGTACATTTTTTAAATAATTTGATTATATTCAGTTTTATAACAGGTGTGGTTCTCACCTTATTAGTGTAGAAACGCGCTTGGAGCCTCAGACTCGGTACAAGGCAACCATGCGAAATATGAGTATGACCTAAGTGGGATGAGTTACAAAAGTCAGAGCTCATGGTTGGTCTCCCTTACCAAAAGTATTATACTTCAAGTTTATTTGAGTAAGTATACTTAAGTAAAGTTCAAGTAT